TAGAACCATTATTTCCAAAAATGGCACGCTGTGATGTTCCTCGTTGTCGCTCAGTTGGAACGCCTCTAAGCAGGGGCGTCGAAACAGGGGAACGGGGGGAGGGCGAACCCCCCCCCCCCCCACCCAGTGACATCGAAAGAGGGGGTAAGGGGCGTAAAGGTGGAAAGGGGGGAGGCGATCGCATCAGCCCCAGGCCATAGCCTCCTATATAGTCCTCGTAAATTTTAAAAAGATATACTAAAAAATTCGGGATAATTTTTTAGTATATCTTTCTGCCCCCTCCCTCCCTCCTCTCCCGAACATCTTCTACGGCAACTCCTGACCCCTATTTGTGTATGTGTGTGTTGAACGTACCCCTTTTTGTTTCCCTTCCCTCGGTATTTCCTCGCCATTCCCCGTCACCTTCTCATCTCTAACATACTACTGACGTCACTACATAAACCGCGTCTGGGTAACCCCGGTAGCTTTGTTGACAGTTGCTGAAGATGAACTCTAAAGCCGCGTACACCGCGCATGGCTCCACAATATCACAAAGTTGACCTAAAATAAATCCGTCCCAAAGTTGTGAAACGTCACTTTGTCGTCACCAATAACTTCCACAAACGACAATCTCGCGATGAGAAAGCTCAGAGTATTCACAGCCTGCCTAGGGGACAACCTAGACAGCATTGGCTGTAACGCAGCGTAGGTATGTAAGGACACGCGGACGCGATGTCATCCGTGCAGCCACCTGATACTATACGGTGTTGCTCGCGCGCGCTTCGGTGAAGCCCGCGTGAGGCCATCATCGCGAGGGTCCAATCAGCACGCTCTGCGAACTTGGGCTTCAACTTTGTGTTTGACAAGTTTAGCGACCCAGCTCCTCTAAAACGCAACAGTAAGTTGAAGAGTGCGCGTGCCCAACTTTGATCGGCGCTCAACGTACGCGAGCACATGCAGTGCCCATAGCTTTATTGCCACAAAATAGCTCACCGAGTGCAGAAATAGTAACAGCCTCTCAAAGAGAGTAAAAACCATCGATGGTCCTCCAACTTTTTACGCATGGTAGAAAAGCCCAGCTGTCCTCGGCGCCCGCTCACGCAGGCATAGCTGGTAATGAGCAGGCCTCTGCAGCTCGCCCGCTAATAGGCATTAACGCCGTGATGTTTCGGTGGCGCCTTCTTATGGCTACCGTCTGTGACGCCAAGACTTTGCCTCGTCGTGACGTCAGGAGTTGTAATCCTGCCTACCTATCACCAGTTGCGCGTGAGCTACAACTTCGACGGTGTGTGTGAAATGCACGAAGGAAGCTTCGAGTCATCGCGTTCTTAAACCAACACCGTCAAAGTTGGCAGTCTGATATTGTTCTTATTTCCGTTCATGAAAGCAAAATTAATCTAAATAAAGACGTTGACGTCATAGTGAAGGTTTGGCCAATAGCGAATGTAGACAACAGCGGCCCTTTCGGTCACGCACGCTGCATGCCAATACCAACGTTGGCCAATACGAATTATTCACATGCAGTTAACAGCACGAACTTTGAGGAAAACAACTTATTATTTGCCATGAACAAAAGTTTTAGCGGTGCGAAGAGAACCTGGCGAATGCTCGCTGTCAGCGCGAACTTGACCTCAAACCTCACAGCAATGGCCGCCACTGAATACTCACTATACGTGCCCTATACACTCCGCGAGATGCAGACGCAGCCCAGTCATCATCATGACCACGGCTACGTATCTTCCCCACCCGAAGATGACAACGACGAAGACGACTCTGACCCTGACGAAGCCAAACAACAGATCAAACCATTGTCCCGTAATGCGCTGAGGGATCACCTTCTACCCATCTCCGACCCACTGCCGCAAGGCTTTCAACGGAGAACCGCCTGCACGCCCAACAGAAGAGCAGCGTGGGAAAATGCGCGGACACCACCACATGCAACTAGGACCCCCAAAATGTGGTCGATCTAGATAACCTATTATGGGCAGCAAAGGCCTCGAGGCAACACGAGGCAAGACTCAAGAACAGGGTGGCTGCAATGGAGGAATGTGTCGTTTTCCCCAGGCCCTCCATACAAACAAGTCAAAACTCTACAGTGCACGCTTCTGCATTTTATTTACGAAGCTGGCTTAAAAGAGTGTATATAATCGCCCTCCCCCGTACCGCGAGTCCAGGCCTCGACGGCATTGACTCATTGCCCTCCCCCCGTCTCCTTAAAGCGGTCTAAATAAACGTTTTCTACTACTACGACTACTTGCCACAAAAAGCTTTCAACGAAAGGGTTCGCGAGTGTTTGCTTACCCAACACCACCTTGCACTCAAGGCCTTCGAAAAGTTTCCTCTATGAAACATAATAATGTCGTATGTATGTTCATACATCCGGAAGTTAGTGAGCCTCAATGGGCGTCTGGTGTCTCCGCAGTGGATCAGCAATTTAATTGGTGCAGTATAATCGCTAGTCTGGAGTCTTTCATGACCGCACGCCGGTACGATAACCATCCAGATTGAAACGGGCAGGGGCGAGGATTGAACCCAGGATCCGTGGGTTCTACAGCGAGAACTTTCGCTCCACATGCTCCGAGCTGGTGTGTGCAATATACCACTCGGCCACCGATCCTCCCTCCACGGAACCTCATCACACTCGGGTGGCGCCAATCTCAGCAACTGAACACGATGACGAGCGTCTTTCGACTCGTTGACTGGACGCGAGGCCCAACCAAGCACTGACACAGCACTCGTATCCAATCTGTGTCTCCCTTTATGTAATTAAGGTGAGGTGAAACTTCTAGTGCACAGGCTTTGATTATTCTAGGTGGTGTTAGCTTACCTCGCTGCCTTGGTATATACCTTACGATACGAACCATTTTGATTCGTCGTTCAGCTTCGCTTGTGCGGTGTCGTGCATGCTTCGACGTTCTTTCTCAAGGGTAGGTCATGCTATTGAGCCTTTTATTCCACCTTCCACTAGAGATCGTGTTTTGCTCGAGCGCTTTGAGACACATCGAAGCTCAGCGAGCCTCTCCGATGTCAACCCCATTTGAGTATTGGCGACGTGTGCGACCGAAAGCGTCGCTGTGATTGGCCTTCCACGATTGGCCGAACGCTGACTATGACGTCAGAAAAGGATTTATCATCGACGGAAATAAGAGGAATGAAAGTACTTTAATTTTGACGGTGTTGGCAGTGTTCCTTTGATAGCGCAATGATTTCAAGCTTCCACCATGCTATTTACAAACACCATCGAACTTGTTGTTTGCAAGGTAATGACGTCACAAAGGGGAACCGTAGGAGGGCGCCACTAAAACATCTCGCCGCTAATAGTACTCGATCTCCGCCGGCGATGGGTTCGATTAGGGTGCCTTCATATGCGCTTTGCTTAGCGTGATGACATCTGGCCATTTTGTTCCGAACTCTTACTTTTCTTTTTTTTTTTCTAAAGCGCGTGAAAGAGCGTGGTCCTGCACGCGCTCGTGGCGCTGACTGTTCTACGGCGACATTTTGTTTTGACGATTTATTTGTATTTTCCCTGTGCGCGCGTGCTTCCGGCATCGGGTAATACAAAGGAGGGCGTCACCCTAAACAGAAGGACATTGAGGCACGCTAGGTTCGGACTGGTATTCATCAGGTTCAACCGCAGTGTACAGTGGGAGTTCTGTCCTTTATAATGAAGGGGGGAACTTCTTGACCAGAGGCAAACTTATCAAACAATCTGTCAGGGAGTATTCACTGGCTGCCATAGCTGTGTGCACGACTGCAGAGCGCGTGCTGGCGGTGAGCTTCCACGGCTCTTTTGCAACGTGCATTCCACACGATCAAGGTTACGGGTCATAGCAGCCTATTAATATAAGCCCATTCTGATCTGAGCATGCGCTTTGAGCAACGCATTTAAAAATGGTGTCCAGTGAATAGCCCCTATAGTCGCACATCAAAAGCTGCAATCAGCTTGAAGAGGAAAAGTACACCTGGGAAGACAGGAACACTCTTGTAATGTCGGAATTCGTACATGGAAAGCGATATTGTAGGTTTAGAAAGAGTTGTATACATAAAGACAGGGGACGGGACAACACATGAAAGATGTGTTGTCCCGTCCCCTGTCTTTACGTATACAACTCTTTCTAAACCTACATCATTACCAACGCGCTCACTAACAAGTAAACCGATATTGTTTCGGAAAACAGAAAACTAGATAGTAATTAATGAGAGAAAGAGAAAGAGGGCGAGAGAGAAGAATATTTCTCCGGAGTGGTTGTAGGAAACTAAATAATTTTTTTTTTTTTATGCTGGAGGGGCTCCTTTTGTCACGAACACTGCAATCTAAAAAAATAAATATAAAAAATAAACGTTTTTGAAAGGTTTTTGACGCCCCGAGAACTCTTTCAGCTCTTGAAGAACGGTTTCGCCTCAAGCACTATCACCCCTTGGCGCACTAGAAAGGCCACTGGGGGATAAAGAACTGTTTCGCATAAAAAAAGGGGCTTAAAAAAACCTTATAGGATTTTTACGCAGAACCCCTTCAGGGAGTGCTTAAAACAACATTTTAGGGTGTAAAATATGGACAAACCGAAGAACCTCTAAAGCCGGAGTCACGTTTCTTGTACATCATATAAAAGACCGCATGCATACAGATTCGAATGCTAGTCACCTCGAGATCCCTGTTTAGAATGCCGCATGGCAATGAGTTCAAGGAGAAAGCTTCGCAGGCGGCATTCGAACCACGGATATTGCGGTGACTCGTGTTTGCAGACTGTCTTTTTTTTATGACGTATGAGCAGTGGGACCCCGGCTTAAAAGTTCTTTTACGACCAGATATTTTTAGTGTGGGCTACACTAAAAAAAATATGGCCGTAAAGGAACTCTATGGGGGACTTCGGGTTGTCCATATTTTGCACCCTAAAAAGTTCTTTTAAGCACTTCTAAAAGGGCTCTTCTTGAAAAACCTATAAGGGGATCTTTCAAGCTCCTTTTAAGATGCAAAAGAGATCTTCATCGCCCAGTTGCGTTTCTAGTGCGCCAGGGGCGATAATACTTGAAGCGAAACCGTTATTCACGAGCTGAAAGAATTCTTGGGCCGTCTTAGAACCTTTCAAGAACGGATTTTTTCTTAGAGTACCTGTCGTTTTCAACGCACATCTTTGCGGTGGTGGTCGGGTGAACGTAGAAAGATGCATGGATATATTTTTTTGTTAGGCCATCAGTTTGATATATATATATATATATATATATATATATATATATATATATATATATATATATATATATGAGTGCAAAAGCTTATATCTTGCACCTATACATGATGATTACGGTATCGTTTCTGAGGTATCCGTTGCGCTCGTTCTCGAGATCCTGCAGCGCAATCATGGTGTGGAATCCGATGGGCACATTGCACTCCTCGAAAGGACGACCCATGATGTGCTTATTCTTTGAAGGGATGTTCCGGAACAATTGGAGCTTGTCGTAATGCATTCCTCGTGCAGACTGGTCGACGACGCGCAGCATGTGCTATAATGTATAAGAAAGAAAAACGGACATGGTGGAGAACATTTCTCAAAGCAAATAACATTTAAAAACAAACTGGCCGAAAATAAGGAAACAAGAAGCTCTAATACACCCACCTCGTTCTTGCAGGGCCAGTCTATGACGCTGTCAAACTTTCCTTGCATTATCTGCGTTCATAGAGAGTCGTCAGTGAAAATTGTTGGGATAGTGTTCGATCATACAAAGGGTGGTATCGTGTTTCCCATGTCACTTGAAAGCTGCGTTATTGTGGCGGGCTTTTGTAGTAACCGAAAGGGAATCAATAGTTTTTATCGCTCCAATTTAATCCCCGACGTGAAACATATGTATTGAAAGCATTCCTAGAATTTGTTGTTGTTTTTTTTTTTTTTTTTTGTTTCTTGTTTATGTACCTGTAACCCCACTCCCCTCTGCAATACCCTCGTGGATTTGAAGTAAATAAATAAATAAGGATGCAGCTTCGTTTCAGTTCGGAATTTATTATATCACCGAGATATATAATTAACAAGGCGGTCATGATATCACAGGTTTGTGGGAAATTGGAAATATTTAAAAATAGGAAAACTATTTCCAACTATAAAGTCTTGCGTTATCAGAAGGAAAATATAGGTCAATTGAAAAACTAATTCCATTATGTAGGGCTGTAAAAGATGCATACTCTGTTCTCGACGTTTGACAGAATTGCGACCCAAACGTTTTTTTAGCTTTATACCATCTCGAGACCTTTAAACTCGCGGAAGTAAGTTTCCAGTGCTCTCGGAATTGTATATTTGGTAACTTGCGAAACCGGCATATTTACAATGCATTCTTCAATTGAAAGTTTCACCACACATTCATTTTTTTACAAATTGTTTTTTTTTATTTTTATTTATTTAGCGTTATTCTTAAATTTTGCAACAATAAAGAAAATAATCGAGAAAAAAAAAACTGTTTCCTTCACAAACAATGCAGCGGGTTCCTACAACCACCCAGGGTTTTTTCAAGGACCCTTTGTTTCGTATTCTCGTTTCGGGAGCACTGCATCCGTTTGTATCAGGGCTGATAAAATCGGGGGAAACGAAAAGCTGAAGACAAACCAAATGGCCGACTCGCCTGCAAGAAGAGGGACAAGTGGCTGCCCCTGCCTTCTCCGTAACCATTGAGGTCCGCCATAAGTCTCAGCTTGTAGCCGGGCACGCCAGTGTAAAACGCCGGGCTGACTACCCGGGCAATGTCTTCATTCTGCTGCTGAAGCTTTAGGCGGCTGTATGGATGGATGCGCCACATGAACTTCCCCTGGGTCCAGGAGCGTGAGATGGCCTCTTCCAATTGCACGTCCACCGCGCGCTGCGGAGTCGGTACGAGCTTCGTCATTACCACAGTCTCCATGATTTGGCCGTTTATCAGCATCTATTATGTCTGGACAAGACACGGCTGCAGGGCAATTGGTTGCGCAAAAAGAGAAGGTAAAGGAGCAGAATTGAGCTGGAACTTACAGAGTGTTCCATCAGGTTGGGAGGACGTGGGATGATCAACTCACGGATATCCTCTGCCAGTGGCGCTGTTCTTCGTTCAGCCTCGATGTAAGCAACCGCACCTGGTCTTTGAGGACCTGGTGTTCTCGTAGCACTAGGTTCATTTGCTCCTTGATGGCGTTGAAGCCGCTCTGAAGTTCTAGCTTTTCCTGGTGGCTTTCTGCCAGCGCCTCCTGAACTGTTCGGATGGATCCGTTGGCTCTCTGGAAGTCAAATCCAAGGGTTCTTGTTGCTTTCTGCCACACCGGCCACGGCCGCCGCTCACCTCGGTGTAGGACAGGAGGAAGTTCATGTGGCTCTCGAGCGTCTCGTGTTTCTCCAGTTCCTCGTGTGTTCCCTGCGATGAATGTGTACAATAGGCGGACATTTTTTCAGCTAAAAAAGGACTGGTGCTTAAACTGTGTCAATTGTAATAAGCTGCATTCCCGTTGCTCTTAATCTATCTATGTGCGACAGGTAGTGGGAAATTAGGGCGGCATTTATCACTAGGATATTCGTTCCTGTGCTGAGAAGGCGCTACAGGGATGTTGAAATCAGGCCAGTCATAATTAGATGAACTAGAAGCCACGCTGCTCTTTTTAAGCTAAAAGTTACTATAGAGTTTATGGCAGCTTGTTAATGCGAAAGCATTAAGTGGTCCCAGCATGGAGCGCAACCGGCGTTGTCTGTAACCGCGAAAAACGGCACCTAGTCCCATTGGCTGAGTGTAACGGTACCTAAATGCCCATTGGCTGAGCGAAACGGCACCTAAATGCAAGTCATCAAGCATGCGCGTGCAGAAATAAATCGCAAAGGAAAGCACTGCAACGCAGATGCTTCGTCACGGAAGCCGGCGGGGGCGCTTAAGGTCAAAGCGGACCAGAGCCGTTTATACTGAGAGAGTTTAACCTTTTCAAGGAGATTTCGACAGTCTGGCAACCACAGCAGCGTAGTCTGACAACCGGGGGATGACTATTTCGGTCCGTCATTTTGTGGCTTTGACTCATAGGAGCTCTATGCGATTTCTTACGTATAAACGAGACAAAGAAGTAACGCCATTTTGTGTTATCGCAATATCCGCTAGTTCTAGCGGGCAACAAGCTCCGCCCATTGGCCAAACTCTCTCCGTATAAACGGCTCTGAATAAGACGCGTCTCAGAAATAAAACACAAAGAAAAGCACAGCAACGCAGATGCTTCGTCACGGAAGCCGTCGTGAAGCCGGCGGGGTTCGCCGCTCCTGCGCAGTGGGGGAGCGTGATGTCACCGCCGGAGCGCCGTGTGCGATAGGAAGACGTGGCGCGCTGCTTGTAAGAACGCGCCGCGTGTAGGAATGCGAAAGCATTCCTACACGTAGGCAGTTTAAGTGTCTCTGGTGAATGTTTGTCATCTATCTTTGTTTCACTGAAAACGTGGCTTATAGACGAAGCACATAAAACATTACGAGTTGTCGTATCTATAGATGGACCAGTTCCGAGGTGAGCACGCTCGTTTACACACCAAACTCGCAGTGTCATGGCTTATTATCGCCATGCGATTCATTTAGTTAAATAGTATTGCAACGTCCCATACCTTCTGGCAGCTGGCTTGCTAATTGCAAGTGGCACAACCGTTGATTGGATTTCTCGTCTTGAAATCACGTCCCTTTCAAGGGAAACCCGGTTTACATACCCCGGCAATTTTTTTTTCTATAAAAAGGTTGGTTGTACTCCGTCGGTATACGCAGCAATGATAGCTCACATTCTTAGTGTTCCACAAAGATGTAATCATGCAGGCATTTAGTTATGGGGGTTCAGAGATTTCTGACTGAGTGGTTTACGAGTTCGAGCAGTGACATCAACGATCCCTTGATCTCACCTCAAATGCGCAGCCGACGACAGAAAGTCTACAGGTCCTCCTTCTGGTCGATGCTCCTTGTGACTGGTGTAGGGGCTGCATATTTGAGGATAACAAAGTCAGAATGCGAGCAATTATGGTTCAACTAGGCGCTGTTTTAATGTCATTTTAACGTGACCATTTATCTAGCCCAATTCGACACCTTGTTGCGGTTCAACTGGAATCGGATGTTTCATTTATTGGGTGCTTGGAGAGTCTACGTACTGGAAGTTTTTGAAGGGACCACGAAATTATAGAATTGTGTAGTGTTCAAGATTTATGGCTTTTTAAATAGGAAAACAGCATAAAACTGTCTGCAAATAGGATGTATTCTCTCGCCGCCATTACTCTTTTATTCCGTGTTGCTGACAACGTGTTAAAAACAAACTTCCACCAAATTTATTCCACATAACCGAGGCTGTTGTCTTTGGCAGGCCGTAAGTTACTTTGCCCATTACTCGCGCTAGCTAACATATCTGAATGCTTGATATATCATTTCCGAGGCAGGGGACCCGGCAGTGTCGTCAAAAGAATGAGGAACCATCTTCACTTTTCCAATTTTCGTGAAGTATTATAAAACACCCATTTGTCTTGACTGCCAGCCTCCATGCAGTAAACATGTCCCTTTGTTCATCCACTAATTTTTATAGAGCCTGATAGAATTATCTCGTACTCATACGTTAGGTGGAGAGAAGGCAATGTATACTGTTTTAAAGAAGTATAAGTCTCCAGGTACATGGCGCCCGACGTTTTGTTAGGAGAAGGCCTCTTTAGGCTCCTGAAGATCTACGCGGAACGTACACTGCTACTCTGAGGCTTGCCGGATGTTGCATTCCAGTACTTCCTACCAGCGTCACTCCCTTCGTGTTTTGTTAATGGTATACACAGTGGGAAACAGGCTTCAAGCGCAAGTCTGAGCTTTGAACTCTGATTTTGCTGTGGCATACCTTGGATTACACCGCCTTCCAGTGCACTGACCTGGCGCGCGCAGCCTTGGTAGTGTTCCAGGATAAGGTATAAAGCGGAGCACAGTTCCACTCTTTTCCGCAGTGTGCGTGACGGTGAAGAGTGAAAGCACGCTCCATCCTTTATCATGTGAAAACGGGCCGAAGCGTCTGTTCAAGGACTGGATGGGTAATTCCAGATTTGGGGATCGATTTTCTCCAGTTAAGGTGCAACCCCACCCTTGGTTAGTGGGATTCTGAACCAACAGACGGCGGTGGGATCGCCTTCCAGGCCTGCACATTAATGCGAGAAATCGTATGTGGTGGTGCTTCGATACAGTGCGGTATTTTTCTATATCATGAATTTGACATTCCTGGTCCTTCGCTTGTTTTTCTCTGCGCGAGCTTTCTTTGGAACGCGCATGGCTGCGCCAGTTGTCGTGCAAGGGGGCCAGTTGCCTACGCTCCGAGCTCACGTCTCCAGCAAATGTGGTCAGAACAAAACGCGAAAATCGCCCTGAGCCAAATGGCAAGATACACGCACAACAAAACAACCGACGCGTTGAAAAATATAAAATTGCCTGGGCGCCGTTTGCACCCCACGGGAATTTCGGAGGCCAATTACAGATATTTCAATGTGATCAGATTTTTACGACGGGCCGGCCCTTTTGCGTGCATGTGTTTGACTCTTAGTGGATTTCCAGGAAAACGTGATGACGTGATAGACTTGGGATTTCAAAATTCTAGCTTAAGGAATTAAATACCTCAAAAATCAAAACAAATTAACTATTTTTTGGGGCGGTCAGGTGCCTCATTTAGGTAGCTGGGTGATTATTTTGATCAAAACCCCGAGACTGGCAAACACAAAAAATGACACTCAGGTTTAGATGTTGAGACTGGTAAACCCAAAGTACGACTGGTGTGGGAGTCATAATAGAAAAATGCCAAGATTAAAAATGAATTCTCACCAATAAATGATGAGAACTGTAATACCAACTCAGTGATAAATTCAATAACTGGCCAGGCAAGGATTCTGGATCTGTGGAGAGCTTTTAATTGCACAGAGTTTAAGCAATCTACCAGTCTTAATTGGGTGATTTATGCACTCAAGTAGTGGTGCGAAGAATGAAAAAAGATGCAAACGGGTACAGCTTGACTTTGTATAAAATATAGTGTAAGCACGCACATGGTACGTTGATTAAGACTGAAACAGCGTTACATTTTACACTAGCGGTTTCCGAATCGAAAGTTAAGGGTGCATCGAAAGCTAAACCTTGTATTGAATGGGTTAAAACAGCGCAAAACGACGAAGGACCAGTAAAAGGAAAAACACAGACACAGCGCTGACTTACAACTTAAATTTTTACTTCTGCGCCATTCAGCAAGTAAACTTGGATCGAGATAAACATACAAAAAATCGACCCGATAACCCGTCATCCTCTTGTCAAGCCGACACGTGGCTACACGTATTTACCCGCCTTTCTGATAAAATTCATCTCATCATGATGAGATGAATTTTATCAGAGAGGTAAAAAAAAAGTTCTGATACAATTGATCTCACCATGATGAGATAAATTTTTTTCAGAAAGTCGGGTAAATACGTGTAGCCATGTGCTGGCTTGATGGGAAGATGACGTGTTATCGGGTCGATTTCTTGTATGTTTATCTCGTTCCAAGTTTACTTGCTGAATGGCGCAGAAGTAGAAATTTCAGTTGTAAGTCATCGCTGTGTCTGTGTGTTTCCTTTTACTGGTCCCTCGTCGTTTTTCGCTGTTTTAACCTATTCAATATGACCATCAACCAACTCGCCCAACTTTACACATTGTTGCTAAAGCTTGTACCCATATACTGCTCGGGCCGTTATGTTTGAACGTTCATAGTACATTATTACCCTCAGATTTGGAGTAAGTTGTCTCCTGATTGCCTACAACAGAAAGAAGGAAGCATTCTAATTCTGGGTTGATAGAAAAACTCCACCTGCTGACAGCTACCAATCATCTCGGCGCAAATTATGAGTATTCACTGCATGCCAATGGTCACGTGCTTAGAACGAGTTTTTCCCACGTGATTTCATACAATCGCAATTGTTATTGACAAACAACATTGTTTACCCACGCGAGTGGCCACATGTAAAGTTTGGAATGTTTGTATTGATTGTGGCACACGTGGCAAGTTTCGCTTTTTTTTTTTTTTTTTTTTTTGCAATTCGCGAAATAGAATGCTCCGGGTTAGAGCCACTAAATGAGCTGCGCTTAGAGTATCGGCACTCCGTTCCCCGATATTGTGCTGGGCGCCACCAATTTGCTCGTTTGCTCGTATGCAAAGCAGACGCAACTGCCGATCGTCATTATTCAAAAGTGAGACTTCCTCATCATTAGATTCGGTGTTAGAAAGGTTGTGTAACATTGCTTTGCTTTGTCGCGGACTGTTTAAACGTTTGTGGAGGACGGGAAAGCGTTTCCTGTGATTTCAGATAAAGCTTCAGATAACTGACATCCACCATTTTAAGCACCAAGATGTGTATGAAGCATAATTTATTTATGGCTCTAGTTTAGCCGGACCGCACAGGTACAGAAGGAGAACGCACTGCTTCACCTCGCGCTCTTGGCGCTGCTTCAGCGACTTTATCAGCTCGTAGCGTTGGCTGCGCTCCGAACTAAGAATATTCAGATCTTAGGATTTTACAAGCCAAACCAACAAAAATCACCTAACACGCCCCGATAAAAAGAATTGCGGGTTTATTTTGACTAACTGGAGATCTTTTGACGTGCAACCGAATCTCAGATTAGCCTCCGATTGCGGGAACCTCGGCCGATATTTAAACCCGACAAATATGGACTCATGGGCCAGTGCGTTGGCTCAGAGATACTTAGACGTTTTAATATTTTGTGTTGTGTTTTGATATCATTGCCACTTAAGAGCCACCAGGGTGGTTTTTGAGACAAAATATAGTCGAACCATTCCCACAAGCATAGTTTTACTGCAAAAATGATTATTGCAAGTGATACAAACATTCAAATTTTTTCGCATATGTGGCGGAATCCCTTTCATGGCGCCAATTTCATTTGGATCGCGCCAGGCATTTGTACCGACCCCAACGTTGGTGGTACCGACGCACAGTAGAACGCGCGCAAAAGCAGCTGTGGTGCCCCGCAGCCTCGCGCTTGTTGTTCTGACATCCCTGTCTCGCTGTACTGCGGGCATCAAGGCATCTGACACCCTGACATCTGGCGCTTTTTCTGTCTTTTACGTGGCGTTCCAAGTGGCATACGACGGCAAATGCAGATCAAGCTATTCTTGAACACGTATCGCCATCTGCAATTTATATTAAGAAATTGCAATTTGCCCTAACTGAATGGGAAAAGTTTGAGGTCTAATAACATTCTTAACGTGTAACATATCAATATGAAAGTTCTGGAAAATGTAATATCGAAGGATGCTTCATAATTTAATGTCTCGTAATTTTGATTAGTTGGCGTGATTCTGTTTTATAGCACCATAAATTAATACAATTTCTACCATTTTTTTATTTTAAAATATACATTATTTGTACAGTTCGTTGCTTACTTTTTTAATTAATTATATCCAACCGAACGCTGAGCCGCCTCCGTAAGTTGCGGTGATTGGCTCTCCGAAATTTGTGCGGGAAAGCAGTCTCACGGGCTTTTTTTAGACTGTAGGCGCTAGTCTAGCGACGAGCAGGATAACCGCGATAAATAATGAGTTTAAGGAAGTATATAAACGGCGATGCAGCTTCAGTTGGCGTTTAGATATAAACTTTTCTCTCTGATAAATTAAAAAAAAATATTATAAAGCAGACAAATATTTGTTTTATTTTGTCGTCTCCTATCCGATCCTGTGTTTCTGCTTTTCGCGGAAGACGCGTAGGAAGGATATAAAAATGTTATACAAATACGCAGTGCCCCCCCCCCCCCCCCACACACACACACAGACACACGCACACAAACAAAAGAGTAACCAGGTTTTTTTTACTGCAGAAATAAACTGTGCATCGCCAAACGTTAATTCTCCACCCAAATATAGAGCTAGAGGTCCGAACCAGATACCAAACTTTCAGCACAAATCCTTACGTTATCAAAAAGTTATAAGTGA